CGACCGTTCATTTCTTATAGTTAGTAGTAACTAGACCATTTAAAGTCTCGGTTTGTTGCCCTTCGAGAAGCTTCGTAGACACTGGATAAGTCCACTTCTCTGCAACGCCACAGTCACAGAAGGAAATTATCTTGTTAAAATTGTGAACTTACCGCCCATAGAAAGTCAGCGCACGACATCTTTTTCGTCCTAACACATTCCATTCTGTATATTGAGTCTTTTCAGAAAAAAAGATGACGAGTACTACAATGAGTACTCAGGATCTTGCCTAGAAGTAGATGTGTAGTGGAAGATTCGTATGAGTACGTATGTGAGTACTCGGTCATTTTACATACTCATGAATTTTTGAGAGTATTTGCTCGAGTAATTTGAGTACTCATGCTAGCAAGTCGTACTCTCTGGATGAGTACACTCACTAAGGAAGGGATACTCAACTTTATCTGCCATATTGTTCTTTGAACGACGTAGCCTTTACTTTTCTACTAAACAGTCATAATATCCTTAGTGTATAATGTCATGTACTATCACAACAGGTGGCTAAAAGTCGAGACTTTTCTGAAAACATTATTTAGGTATCTGACACAACATGTACAAGCCATTGTCCAAAAAAAAGTGGGCTAAGAATATAGCGAGATAGTGTACTATTCATATCAAAGTTGTAACCGATCCGACCGAACCGAAGCAGTTGTAATAGTTGCACCGACCAGTTTTCACTGATTGGAAAATATTTCATAGGTATGCTTTTTTCGTGATAAAACTCGTTGAGAGAAAGTTTTTTGGTACTTTAATCAAAACGATCAATCCTTGCTGACTCAACAATTATATTCCATTTTCTTCTATTGATCTACACTGTTTCATTTGGTCAATCGTAATAGATTTTATCTGTGAAAATGTACAATGAAAACTGCGTTACTTGAATCCATCTTATCGCATACATGCTTTGGTGAAGATCAATTTTAGGTTCAGATCGTGGTTTGAAGAGAAAAGCTAGGTTTGTCTGTTAAGGTTGCATGAGACAATCTTAGATTTGGAGTGGGTGTGAGTATTCTACGAAAAAATTCGTCGTCGCCAACTGTTAATTGACTCTCGAAATTGTTTCTTGTATGACGTCGATGGGAGAACAAATGTGACAAAGATAAAGGCTGATGGAATAAACGAAATAAAGTAGCCTGACAAATACAACCAGGGATTTCGAGACACTTTCATACATCCAGAAAATAAAGAGATTAGAAGTCGAGGAAATGATAGAATGACTAATACAATGGGACTGACAATAAGTTGTTTGTGTTCATTGAATTGTTCAAGTAGTTGTTGTTGATAACTTTGTCGAGTTTGTGTCGTCGTTCGTCGACGAGCTATGGTGAATATAATGAAAAGAGCAGAAAATAGATTAATCAAAGATGGAGCAATAAAATGAAAAATTTGGATGGTTGTACTATATTTTTCAACCGATTGAGCATAACGAAATACGCACCAAACACGTTGCTCCTCGTAATCATCGAACAAACCACGGTAGATGAACTCGTGACTCATCGAGCCCAAAATGACGAATGGTAAAAACCGAAGTATCCATCGTGCAATATGTTTGCTCTGTGTCTTATCAAAACTAACTCCTTTAAAAACTGATATCACTCGCTCAATGGCAACACAAGCATTGAGCCAATTGCTCATATGTAAGAAAAGTTTAAGAGCTATCTCGAATAATATACATCCTCCATAAAGAACACGACGATTGATTGATTGATCAATATGAGTAAATACCACGAACCAGAATTTGATTGTCAACATACTAACAACAAGACCAGAAACAATCGATGATAGATGAAGATACATTCCAGAACCAACTTGACGAGAATTTTGATGATGAAATACCAAATAAGCGAGAAGACTATTTAACAAACCAGCTATAAATATGATCATAATGAGAACTGCACTCAATATAATGACAATTGGTTGATCGTTGAAGGTTAAATTCGGTCGAATTGTATAACGTAGAATGTCATCCAATGTCAATCCGATGCCTTTAGCATAGAATTGACAACGATCACCGAAGAAACAATCGGCACATACACATAGAATACTCTCCGGACATGTTGGTCGATCTTGCAAACATATTCCATCGTTCTCACAGTAAACGTTGTCTTGACACACGAAAGTCGTATTAAAATCGAATAAAAAACAGTTACTGTGATGCTCTACAGTGCATAGACACATGTACGATTCATCGATAAAACATTGTAAATCAACATTATTTTGACATGGA